TAACGAACTAATTAAAACCTGACTCTGAGTCTCTGACAGGTAAAACACTTGCTTGAGAGACAGTCGGTTTCTTATTTTGTAATTGACGTTGCAAGTGTTACACTTTTTTCAATCTGTGTTGCATTGCTGACAGTGTAGGAAGTAATTCGCGATACGCGTAAATTACAAACAGCTCCTAGAGAACGCTAGAAATAGCATTTCCGAGCCTCTAGATTTCAAAAATTCTCTGGGGGAGCATGCCTCCAGACCCCCCAGCGGCTCGCTCGATTCTGTGCCCCCCAGTTTTTTTCCCCTTGCTACGGTACTGAATTGTTATCACGGAATCTCGCTAAAACGCTTCAGGTATTAACTCACGACATTTTGTTTCCGTGCGGAGATTGGGTGACTTCCTACACGCAAGAAAAACTGCGAACCGGGGGAGGGGTTTGTAAAGATTTGTCGTGTCAAGAAAGCATGGCGACACAAGGTTTCTTAGGTTAGAGCACTGATTGACCGCGTACACCGAATCTGCACTCCCAACAAAATTAAAACCGAGCTCAAGCTAATAAGGAAGTTTTTATCGTGGANAAGCATGGCGACACAAGGTTTCTTAGGTTAGAGCACTGATTGACCGCGTACACCGAATCTGCACTCCCAACAAAATTAAAACCGAGCTCAAGCTAATAAGGAAGTTTTTATCGTGGAACGGTTTTCCTAATCGTGTTGCGAACTTATTAATTGATCGCTTTTCTACGAATGCACAGAACAGGGTTCCAGATCATATTATCAACGACACCTTCCACAACAACCAGCATTCAACTATCTGGCTTACCATCCCATTCGTCGGTGACCTAACAACACAGCTTGTTAAGAAGCTTAAACGTAGGATTCGGAGATGTGTCGTCGACCCGAATGTAGACATCCGAATAAAACAGAAGACAACAAAATTATGTTTCTTCACAAGCACTAAAGACAACGCCGCCATTAAGCCAATCAAATGTTGTATATGAATTCATTTGACCCGGTTGCAATTCTTCGTACATCGGCAAAGCGAACGGAACTCTGCTTGTCCGCACACGAGAACATGCGCTCACGGACAAAGAAAGCGCTCTATATAAATATCTGCGCTATTGTGATCAGATCAAACACATACAAGGTTTACACAACTTACCGGACATTTTTATCAATGAGAATAACCCACCTTCTACTGCAATGAACAAAGAATTTCTCACCCAAACTGTGCGTGGTAACACAAACATATCAGACCGCGATGATAATTGGAATCTATTACTATATAAAGAAGCATACCATATCAAGCGCTCATCACCATATTTGAACACTGGTTTAAAAGCCAGTAGGGAACTATGCCTATTCTCTTGATAGTATCGTCTTTATTTTGTATTTTCACGTGCTAATGCTAATGTACCATCTTGCAGTATTTAAATTTCTGCTTCCTGTATGTCACCTCAGTCTGAAGATGATATAGAATTATATCGAAATATTACAAGTACATGAACGATTCCTTGCATTTGTTGCCTGTATTGTAGACACAATGCATTTACTCGGTATCACATTTATTCTCTATCTCTTAAAACTATCAGCAGGTAATGGATTATGTGCTTCTGTCAAGGGTATGTTTTTCAAGCAGCCTACTATGGGTATAGGAATCAGGATTTAGGTAAACAATCGGGGATCTTGGTATAAAAAGAATGGAGTTTCTTATTTTCTTATTAACCGATTGACGCCTGTTCCGGCCGTAACCGTCCGTGAAGAGCGTTAGCCTTTGTTCCACTTCTAACGTCATCACCTTTGACCTAAATTGGCATCACTTAAGCTCAAGTTCTGCAAGGTGAAAAGATCTTTCCAATGATACCCAGATCAGAGTGATCGGGTCAGTGGAGACTGAAATATGCACAAAAATGCTCAGAAATTTGGGTGAAAAACTCGAAGCAAAATTTCCCTCAACTACACTTGGCTACTCCACTGCAAGAATTGCCCGTCTCGGTGATGTTTTGTCGGGAATTCTTGAACTGGAAGCAAGCCCAGTAGAAGGTCAATCGCTGCAGCAGAATGATAACCAAAGTTGAAAAAGGAAAGGCGAAAAAAATTGAAAACCGAAAAGTGTAATGACGTAGGTCACTTTCTCGTCCAAAAACCTCGAAATTTTTATATCTGCGCATGCCCGAGCAAAAGTGTCATAAAATGCGATGCTAGTGGAAAGAAAGGCAAGCTGTGAAGTTGAATATGCCTTTTTGAGTAGATTGCAGCTAATTTGGCTCATGTCCAGGCTGAAAATGTCCAAAATATCCCAAAAAAGCGTTTTTGGCAAAAGGCTAAATTTACACTATGGAATATTAATAGGGGAGGTATTTCTGGTACCCAACCTACAATCAGATGTCCAAATACCAACTAAATATCCTCTGCTTTAACCCAAGCATTTCATGTTTCCAGCAATACACACCATCGACAAATTCCTAGAGTACTCCCTTCCTTCCCCCGGGCATCGATTGCACGTCATTAATCTCTGATTACTATTATGTCACAAGTTAGAGGAAATGTAAAAGCTTACGCGCACAACTAGCAAATTAGCGGAATCTGCGCTTGTTAGTAGACCCCAATCTTAACAGGGAGCTTAAGCAACGACGCCGACGCCGAGGACGACGCCTAGTAAAAAATGAATTTATATTTTACAAGTGAAATTCGCGATTGTCTAGATCTGTTAGGCACGCTAATGGCTCCAAAAACGTGTTTAATCTAAATATGCAACGACGGCGTTCAATTCCAAATGGAAATACGAAAAATTAGCCGTCGTCGTCCACGTCCAGTAGACGACGCAGAACTTGGTCATTTCATGTTGTTGTTTTGCAGAGGACGGCAAAGAAATGTACAAAGATTTGTAACGCACGTGCACAGCTATTGTTTTGCTCATTAATTAGCCCCTTACATTCCGACATATTCCCTGCACAATCGTCTCTTGGAAAGTCTCTGATATATTGCGTACGTAATTTATACAATCTCGGGTACGCTTATTGGGTATAGTTTGTTAAAACTTAACTGGAAAAAATAGTGAAACCACAAGCTGAACAATGACATGCTCGCAATTGATCATTTTTTCAGTTTCTGATCCAAGAAAAATAAATCATCTTTTTCGTTTATGGTTAATTATTGCCATCAGGACCTTCGCTTTAGGTTTGGTTAAATTTGTAATTTAATTCTGCGGAAACATAGTCTACTAGAGTGCTTTGACTTCTATCACCCATGCCGTTCTCTGGTTGGCTACGCTACTCACTATCTATTCTGGTGTAGATAGTGAGCAGCCTAGCAGTTTGCGGTTGTTAAAAAAAACAGTGGACGCTTCTTTGTCTTTTCGAAGTGTTTATGAAAAGAATTTTTTTTAAGTCTGAAAGACTAATAGATTTAAACTAGAGCAATAGAAATAGCGATAGAAATCTCGAGCTTATAATGTAATTGTTAATTATAATGACTACATTCAGGCAAGAAAACTACTGGACTGCTGAACTCGCGGATTTTAGATCAGAAGAGAGACTGTTTGTAATCTAGAGCGGGAGGTAAGTTGTTACCTCCGGGTTTTCTTTTACATCATGTAGACCAGACGACAATCTGGTCGAAATCTGGAGAGTTAAAAATTTCCAAATAAAAGGCTATACCTGGAGTCCTGGAGCCCACAACTAGGAGTTTAACATGATCTGTTATTATTTCGTATCTAGCAAGGGCAAATAGAACAATTATTTTCAGGTTATTATTATATTAAATTCTTCATTCGATTGATTGATACAGACATCTTAATTTAGCTAAATGAAGTAGACGGCACAATTTGTGCGTGGTGTTCATAGTGAGAGTTGAATGAAGCGTGGAAGGTTT